GAGAATACCATATGCAAATATTTTAATATAGAATTTTATGGTAGCATTCCGTCTAAAATTCAAGAGAGCTATTAGATCATATTTAGAATGTTAAATTGTCATAGACAGCCTTGTATAAATATCAATCGGAATAGACAGAAAAGCAGTTGTTTTAAGAAGGAATGGAGATATTTCTGTAATTCTCCGATCCATGAAATTTACCTTTCTACTAACAATTTTTAACCACGACTGTAAATAGAAGGAAAGGTTGGTTTTAATACCTGGTAAGTCAAAGATACCTTAGGATTCATACAACTGAAGACTGACACAGGCGTGTGTCTGGGGGCTGAGTCTTCACTCCCTAAACCATAACATGAGGACTGTTCTGTAGCTTTGAGAACAAAGGGAATCAAAAAGCTCTAGCAGAGAAGATCACATGGAAAGTTCTAAGCTCTCTTTCAAAGCTTGTTTCCAGCTCCATCTACAAGTGTCATGAAGGGAACATGTTGAGACAGGGAAGACTCTCTCAGTCTCCCTTTTCTTTCTTAAGCCAGCAGGAGGGGTAAATGATACTAGTAACAAGGACTGTCAAGCATTTGTTCTGACTGACTCTTAAATTTCTTCTAAAGTGAAGGTTCTCCTGCTGTAATTTCCATAATATCCTAAAATCTAACTAAACCTTTATCTCTTGATCATTTTTATTAATAAATATTACTAAATTAAGTTTTGAGCTAAAAAACAAAACAAAAAAATATTTCATTTACAAGAATTTCTTTTTACCCAAAGCAGTTTCATATATAAAAATATCCTAGTACATTAAATTCAAAACTTAAGGCATTTGATAAGTTAAAACTTTCATTAATACTTTAAATATATTTATGTCATACATATTTTGATATCTCATAATTACATCAGAGTACAAAACAACAGTTTTTACTCTGCATTAACGAAGCTTGTGATCGTCCATTTTTATACATCTGATCATCAGAAAGTACACAAAGCCAGATCTAATGTGAAAATTGTCCTTTTATTTGGTTTATCTTACCATTCTATGAGTGACTGAAACTCAGGGAGGTTGGGAGAAATCATTTTGTCCATCCTTATTGGACTTCCTCTCACACAGACCCAGGACAGCATCATTCTGGACATCAGATCTTTTCTTCTGCAGACCCCAAGCCTATGACCCTTCAGGTTCATGGCCTTATGCTCAACTATGTTCAAGCATCTTTATTATAAAGGCCCATATATCATTCTGCATTCAAATGACTTTATATGATGTCCTAAGGCCAATTTCAAAAAGTAAAGTGAAAATTAAAACGTAGAAAGAAATGTTTCAATAATATAAAATTCAACTCATGTATTTAAATAACAATAGAAAATCTGCCATAATTGATGTGTGTTTTGGGGGAGGAGGTACTTAATCTAATAGAAATTTTACGAATCACAAAAGAAATCTTGTTTTCAGAGTATTTTTATTCCTTCTTTCAAAATGAATTCTATAAGAAATAAAAAGGGAAATATTTTCACATAGATTAATAAGCTTTTTAAAGAAGTTTCATGCTTTAGCCATTTTAATCTAAATGTCTGACCATAATACTGAATATTTTGCATAGAATCACCCTTTTCATATGCTATCCACTAAGAAAGAAAAGAAAAAAAAAACATATGTGACCTCAAGGAGGTGTGGGCTACACACAGATGGATAGACTTGAGAGTGCAAAGGATCATATCCTGAAGTCTTTATGGCAATGTGACTATCAGGAGTGAAATCCAGAACTCATATTTAAAAGAACTGTGGAAGCCTTCTGTGTGGTATCTAACTAATGTCTTGTGTACCCTACTACCTTGAACACTTTCAGAAGTAATTAAGTATTTCTTTTTAAATAATGACATTTGTCCAGACTCAACTGATAAATCCATGCTGTTATAATTCCATCTCTGGAACAACAGAAGCACCTTTTCTTTTTACTCATAAGATGTAGTGAAACTCATTTCCAACCAGTGTCTTCATCAATGTGACAATCACTGCCACAGCACACACAATGAACCAACCGAGCTAAGGGACCAAGATCTCAAGTATGCTATTGATCCTAAATACAATGAACTCCTTTGTCCAATGAGAGATCAGAGCATCATCCTGTGGATTGAACCTTAGTGGCAATTTTATCCTAGCACCACATGTAACCACTTAATTCTTACCTTATTTTGACTGGGGTCAGAACAGCTTTACTGAGTGATCAAATTTCTTTATGCCTTGGTCTGAAATGTGAAAGAAAAAAATAGATGGATGGCTAAGTGGCACATATCCAAAGCATTTTAAAATGATGATAACTGTCCTTTGTCAACTGGATAATTTTAAAGTGAACGGTTCTGTAAAAATAAAACAGTATATCTTTATGCAAAAAAACCAGAAAAATTGACATTATACCCATACAATCTTAGAAATCAGCACACTGTGTCTGAGTGGGTTTTGTTTTGTTCAGTTGATTTGAAACAATTCAGCTGTGTCTGATGGAAAGAGCTCCCCGATCTGGATGATGATGAGATTAATAAATTAAAATGTATTTTCACGTCTGTATTTTTTTCCTTTTCATGGTTCATTTTTATGCTAGTTTGTGTTTTATAATAAAATGTTGAATGGAAGAAACACCGTCTGTACGTAACTATGTTTTGCCAATACCAGTAACTAATTTCCAAATCTGTGATAAGCCTATAAGGTACCATTTTTCTTGTATTTACAATGAACTCCTTTGTCCAATGAGAGATCAGAGCATCATCCTGTGGATTGAACCTTAGTGGCAATTTTATTCTAGCAAGCACCACATGTAACCACTTAATTCTTACCTTATTTTGACTGGGGTCAGAAGAGCTTTACTGAGTGATCAAATTTCTTTATGTCTTGGTCTGAAATGTGAAATAAAAAAATAGATGGATGGCTAAGTGGCACATATCCAAAGCATTTTAAAATGATGATAATTGTCCTTTGTCAACTGGATAATTTTAAAGTGAATGGTTCTGTAAAATAAAACAGTATATATTTATGAAAAAAAAAAACAGAAAAATTGACATTATACCCACACAATCTTAGAAATCAGCACACTGTGTCTCAGTGGGTTTTGTTTTGTTCAGTTGATTTGAAACAATTCAGCTGTGTCTGACGGAACGAGCTCCCCGATCGGGATGATGATGAGATTAATAAATTAAAATGTATTTTCACGTTTGTATTTTTTTCCTTTTCATGGTTCATTTTTATGCTAGTTTGTGTTTTACAATAAAATGTTGAATGGAAGAAATGCCATCTGTATGTAACTATGTTTTGCTAAAACCAGTAACTAATTTCCAAATCTGTGATAAGCCTATAAGGTACCAGGTGCCATTTTTTCTTGTATTCCAGTTCAGACACTGATAATTTATATATTCCTTTGATTTCTTTGAGTTTCTGATTTTTTAAGAAGTACTATATGTAAGAAGTAGCTACTGGATTTATACAAGTGTTCAAATACTTTATGAGCCTGGTGTGTAGACTACAGAAACAAATAATAAATGATATTTGTTAGTTGATTGAGTTTAATTGTGGGTTCAGCTATTATAAATATGCTCAGTTGAGAGATTAGAATTTGGCTCTCTGTATAGACAATGGGATTCAGAAGATATTTAGACACTTATATGTCACAACAGATGCTATATTTTAATAAATATTGCCTCTGCTCTGGGGAAATCAAGAAAAGCATATTTGAAGTCACGTGGATTGAATGACATGCTATCTATACATTTGGTTGATGTTTTACAGCTATAAATCTGAAAAGTATTCAAATGTTTACTGATGAAATGCTAATCCATTTTGCCTAATTTTAAAGAGTCTACCCTACATTTCCTCAGAATAAGATCAGCAAAGTACATCCAAAGGGAGGGGAGGGAAAGAATGCAGGACTAGTTTAGGCTAAAACAAGACAATGAAAAACTGTGCATCTTATGTACATCATTAGACTAGACATAGTTTGGAAAAAAACTCTACAAAACCTTTACACAGAGCTTACTAGGTTCTCTTCTGAGTGTTTTACATATACTGTCAATTAATTCTCACATGTAATAAGGTAGGTTGGATTAATATAACCCATGGGGCATAGATATGAGTTATATGCCACACTTCAAACTGCATTTCTCCTTATTACTTCACCCTAAAACTACAGCAGCTATCCATGGGGAAGTTTCTCTTTT